ATATTACATCAGGAACATACCCTTCTTCTATCATCTTAGTGTTCAATTTTTCCAACTCATCATAAATTTATCTAAATAAGGACTTGATCTATCATCAGCTGAAAATACATGCACTTTGTTTTTATATTTAATCCAACTAAACCCTGGGGTTTTTCTTATATCTTTATCTCTCATTTCACTTTTTAAATTCGCCACCTCACCCCATATCCCTTTAGCAGCGTACATTTCTGATAACAACACATAACTTGTAGGATTCTGAGGCTCTAATTCTTTTAAACACTTTGAAGCCCATTTACCGATTTCAAAATTCCCATGAGATCTACATGAACTAAGTAATGTAGATAATCCAAATGCATCACGGGAAAAAGGCATATCATTTATAAAACATTTAGCTTCTTCAATATATCCAGCTCTACTCAATAGATCAATCATGCAACTATAATGATTAGAAACTGGAACAATTCCATGTTCTTGTGACATTGATTTGAAATACTTTTGTCCTTTTTCCACTAATCCTGCTCTACTACAAGCTGAAAGAACACCTATAAAAGTTACTCCATCTGGCTTGAGTTGACTAGTCAACATTTTTTCAAAAAGATCGATTGTTTTATTGGCTTCCCCGAATTGGGAATACCCTGAAATCAAAGAAGTCCATGACACCTCATCTTTGACTTTCATTTCATTAAACATTTGATTAGATTTCTCAATTGTTCCACATTTTCCATAGAAGGATACAAGTGAATTGGAAACAGTTATGAAAGAAATCAAACCTGAAACTCGTGCATGACAATGAAACTGTTCACCTTCTTCTAAACTAGCAAGATTCCCACATGAACTTATGACACTTCCAAGTGTAAAGTCATCTGGATGTATTCCATTTCTTTGCATTTCACAACAACACCTTATTGCTTCTTCACAATGACCGTTTTGCCCATACCCCACTATCAATGCAGTCCAAGAAACAATGTTTTTGACTTTCATTTTACTGAATACTGTTTTTGCATAGTTTACATGTTTACATTTTACATACATGTCAACAAGGGAGCTTCCAACGTATACATTGTCCATGATGTCAGTTCTTATGATGTATGCATGGATTTGGGAACCTTCTTTTAGAGACAGAGTTCCTCCACAAGCTTTCAAGATGCTTCCAAAAACAATATCTAAATTTTTTAGTGACCTTTGGCCGCACTTTTAATAAAAAGTGTGACAGACCGTTTTTCAAAAAGTGTGACCATATGTCATTTTTGTACTAGTGAATGGCTGTTGAACTATAAGCTAGAATGGAAGTTACAATGGCTAAGATTGGTTAGCAGTTATGTTAGTTATTCTCCTGAAAGTTAGTTATGCAGTTAAAGTATGTTAAAGGGTATATGCCCCTTTTGTATGTATGTATATAAGTCAAACTTGTGTCTATGTATAAAGTATAAACTAATGACTATATAATAAAAGAAAAGAATTCTAAAAGCATATTCAATGCTAAACCTATATTTTAGATAGATATGGATTTATTAATATTGATCTCTAATTAAATTGTTTTTCTAACGGTTAAACTTTTTTATGACTTTTTTTTATTAATTTGAATATTTTATCCGTATCAATCTAAAATATTATATAAAACTTTCTCGTTTAACTAAATGTTTTTTAAACATAGCGTATTTAAATATAAGATATCGCCACCTTATTATTTTATTAATATTGGCTTCTAATTAAATTGTTTTTACAATGGTTAAACTCTTTTATGACTTTTTTTATTAATAGAAATATTTATCATTATGTATCTAAAATGTTATATTAAACTTTCTCGTTTACCTAATCGTCTTTTAAACACACCATATTTCAATATAAACATTCACTCACGCAAAATGATTCACATATTACTACAGTATATGTTTAAATATTTATATATTTGTTTATCTATAAAATTTAGATAAATAATAAATACTTAAAATCAAATCAAAAGGATATATAAAATGAAATATTACTGAATAAAAAGGATTGAGTGTTCAAAATATTAAACTATATGAGTGGTCAATAAAAATTAACAAAAAAGTCATCATCTCCAATGGTGTTAAGTTATTTTGACCACTCAACAAAATAATAATAAATTATAAAAAACCTCATATTGAATATGTTCTAAGTATTTAAACTATATTTTCTTGTTTGTCCTTACAACATCCACCATTAGCGATTAAAACATGTTTTAGAAAGATAATTCTCCTGGGATCCAGAAAAAACTTTGATTAGCATGAAACGATATAAGTTTCTTGTAGCAAATAAGAGGTGGAGTAACATAGTATCCTAGTTACAGACCAGCGATTCCTTTGTATTTCTTTTATTGTTATTATGTGGCATATATGCATCAGATATATGTTAATTATATGGAGAATTTTGTATATACCCTTAATAAACAACAAAATATCAATTTTGTCCGACCTAATCTTTAAATATCATATATGTTTTTCTTAAACTGTCAAAATATCATATTTATCCAAATCTTTTTTTTTAACATTTTTTAATCATATTTTATTATTTAAAATCATTTTAACCAAAAAAAAATTAGATTGACAATAACACCCTTGTTTCAAAATTCCACGATTAATTTGTATCCCACCACAAACATGAACCAAGCTTGGAAAATGGAAATCCAAACAACACAAGTCTAGCCATTATCATCGTAGCTCCGCAGTTCAGACTCATCGCCGATTTTGTAAAACCCGGAATCTTGAGGAATAATTGTGGAAACAAATCCCCTTTCTAGGGTTAGGCATAGCGTGTTGGAGGAACCAACACGGCGTGTCTAGATTTAATAAACGCAACTTTCTTTAAGGTCAACACAGCGTGTTTATGGAGCAACACGGCGTGTTGGCGGTTGGTGGAGAAAACTTTAATTTTAGGGTGTTGTACCCTATATAAAGGCCTTAAGTCCTTATGGTTGGCCTCTTTACCGGCCTCTATTGTCACTAAAACCCTAAAATCGATCTTTAAGTCTCTTGGTGGTGTTCTTGAGCTAGTATGAAGTTCTTGGTGCTCATTTTTGGTCTTTGTGAAGGAAGAGGAGATCTTGAAGTTGCTTTGCTTGGGGAAAAGGCTTTGGATCCAGATTCATCATCATGTGGGGAAGCTTTATGAGGTATCAAGTTTGCATCTTGTCTTGTACATATTTAGATCTCTTCATAGTTAGTTTGTTGTGCTTTTGGTCCCTTTTTGGGTTAATGGATGAGTTAGGTCATTTAAGGGCTTGTTCTTTCAGATCTGAGTTTGTTTTGGTATCCTTGAGCATAAAAGTGCAAGATTTATGAGATTTTTGGTGTTATGCATGCATTAAGTCAATTACTAAGTCCTTTTAAGCTTAAGAGCTTCATTTAAACATGCATAAACGTACAGTTGGCAACTTTACGTGGTTTTCCAGCTCAATGAAGTTAGATCTATGTTTTGGGGATAAGTCTTTATGGATTAAGTGCTTATTGGTCAAGCTCTTGCACTATTAAGCTTATGGATGGAGTCTTGACCCTTTTTGGGTAGTCCCAATGGATAAAGTTTGAAACTTTATCCTTCTGGACCACATGAGAGGCTAGATCTGAGCTTTGGAGCTCTTGGTATCGGAGAAAACAGCTTATTGTATTAAGCTGTTGGATCTCGGGCAAACACGACGTGTTGGCTAGGGTTTTCCCGATTATCTGGATGATTGAAGAAAACGGCATGTCCAAGGGGCAACACGGCGTGTTTGGTCAACATGGGTTGTTGACTTTGACTTTGACCAGAAGTTTGATCATGGTTGACCTTGGGATGTTTTGGGCCATGTTTGGGCCTTTTGGATTGTTGATTTTGTTCTTGGCTTTGGGGGCAAGTTATGAAGAGGGTAAAAAGGTCGTTTACCCTTGTTTGGACACTTAGTGTGGGTCGGATCCTATTATTGATGGATATTTATCTTGTGATTGACAGGGCGTGGATTCTTGCGAGCCAGCAGCTAGTGATTCTTTCCATGAGATTCGGCAGTGCGAGGTGAGTCTTCCTCACTTTACTTGTTGGTTGAAGGCACCAATGACGGCCCATTGGATTGATATCTTGTTATGCATGCTATTATATTGTTATGATCTGTTAGATCGGTATCCTGGTAGATAGGATGTTGTTATGTTGTTATGATCTGTTAGATCGGTATCCTGGTAGATAGGATGTTGCTATACTTAGTGATCTGTAGATCTGTTTGACTGGCTGTGGACTGTTATATGATTATCTATTATATGTGCACATGTATAGCCGGTAGCTGAGGCTTTCACTACTTTGTGCGTAAGCCAACAGGCCGGGGCATTCCAACCCGATGGTTGAGGGGCCTGGGGTATTCTAACATGATGGTTGATTGGACCCATAGTATGTTGGCATTCCAACCCGATGGTTGAGGGGCCTGTGGTATTCCAACCCGATGGTTGATTGGACCCATAGTATGTTGGCATTCCAACCCGATGGTTGGGGGCCGAGGGTATTCCAACCCGATGGTTGATTGGACTCATAGTATGTTGTTATTTTGAATATGTTATTTATTTGTGTGTTGTTATTTTGGGGGAACTCACTAAGCTTCGTGTTGATAGTTTTGGTTTATGGTTTCAAGTACTTCAGTGGACCGTGGCAACGCGAAGGTGTAACCGTACACATCCTTGCTTTACAACTGATTGGATCCTGGAAGACTTTGATTTTTATTAATGTTTTGAAAATAATAGTTTGTAAACACTTTTATTAATAAATTGGTCGTTTTTGGAAGTTTTAAATTTGTTGGAATTTTTGGGATGTTACAGATTTCCTCATCAATAACTTCGATTCCACCAAGGCATTGTTGTCGATGTTCTTCCATTTTTTAATCAATGTTGATTTCCTCATCTGATTCGGATTCCACATGTAATTTCATCTTCAGCGACTTCGTGTTTTGGAATCGTTTCTATTTCCTCATCACCGAATTCAATTCCGAAAGGTAATAGAATTGTGTTTTACTGATTTCATCATCAATGATTTTGGAATTTTGTTTTAGTGATTTCATCATCAACGATTTTGGAATCGTGGTGTACTGTGTTTTACTAGGAGTTGTTGTGAAGTCGATGGAGAAACCAAGGTTAGTGTTGAAGTTCATCTGGATGAAGAAAAACATCGGTCTTGCATCAGACCAAGTGATTCCAGGATACGAGAATATTCCATTAAGTCCTTACTATTTTTTGCCAAGGAAACATGCTTGGGAAGTGCTTAAGGTAATACTTGAGAGTAAGCCGTGGATTTCTCAAAAGCAAGTGATTATTATTCTTAATCAAGGTACTAATATCATTAACTTGCGGCAGCAGGGTGGTAGTTATATACAATAAGTTGTCAATTCTTTAGATATGTGTAGATTATGATGACTTGTTACAGGTTGATACTATTCACAAATTGATAGAGATGATTGCTATTTAAGTAGTGTTTCTTTTATTGTTTTATTGGCATCTACTCCAGTTTCATGATCCAATATACTACTTTTTTTTGTTGATACCTTCTTTGATGAAAAACAATAAATAGAGAAATGTTTTACCTATTCATTTTGGTTGTTTATATGTTCGTTTTATCGGTCTCAATCGTTGGTATGAGGTTAATATAAAATATTGGTAATGCATCTGTTGTCTTCATAGGAATCGTATTTCCACGTAACAGTAAATTACATGTTTTGTTTCTGACTATAGCTTATTTTGTTATAAACTTATCCATCTATCCATAGTTTTTGTTAATTAAAGCATTCTCTTTGTCTTAGTAAATTTGGTTTGAAATATTTTTCTTGAAAAGATAATAGTTTTTAACATTATGGGCGTGTTCGGCACGGAACGTTTGAGAGCTTCTAGCTTCTAGCGTTTGACAAAACGTTTCGTTTAAAACAGAAAGCCTCGTTTGACACTACAAGCTTCTAGCGTTTAGTTTAATCAAAACGCTCCAAATCCAAATGCTACTTCATGTAGCGTTTAACAAAACGCTACAAGCTACAAGCTGTCCGCTACCTGCTACAAGCTACCAGCTAGTTCTGCTGAACACGCCCTATATGCAAGAGAAATCATGGGTGATAAAATTGGTTACGTCAAATTAGAATCTACCCACTGTTGTCATGCATTTACAATTAGGCTTCTTATGTTAATTTGTTGAATTAATATTTATGTTTTAGTAAAATTGATTAAAATAATAGTTTGGATAAATATGATATTTTGACAATTTATTAAGGGTATAAGTGATATTATAATAAACTTAGCTTTATAATAAGGGTATAGTAGTCAATATACAAAAATAAGAATTTAAAATGATTAAAAATGTTTAAAAAACAAATTTAGGTAAATATGATATTTTGATAACTTACTAAGGATATATATAATATTTAGATTTTAGGTTGGACAAATATAATATTTTACTGTTTATTAAGCGCATATCATCTATGAATTAAAATCTAGTCTTTGGTGGGTAAATTGTTGTAAGGCTCTTGGTACTCTCCATGAAGGCTCATTATATTCCTTTTTTCATGTTGCAAAAAAGATGTGGACCTTCAAAGTCTACATAAAAATAATGAAATTTATTATCTAATAAAAAACCTAAATTCCAAATAAAAAATAAAAAATAAAAAATAAAAAATAAAAATGTGGAAAAAAAAAAGTATATTTTTATCTTTTATCTTTTAAAATACAAATTGATAAAAAGGATATTTGTCAAAAAATAATAATAATAAAGAATTAGAAAGTCCATCCTATCGAATTAACACCCTGTTCTCGAGTTTTTTAAAGAATGAAATGAGAGGAAATTGAGGAAATAAGATGATTGTAAATCATTTAAGGGCCTTACAAAAATGTCAAAATGTAAGAGTGTGTTTGGTTCGCTGGAATGTAATGGAATTCGGGGGGGAAATGATTCCAATTCCACTTCCAGTGCTTTGTTCAATTTTGTGTGATGGAATTGGAATTCTGTCATTTTACATGGATTCTAATTCTATTTTTTGCCAACCAAATAGAATCTGGAATTAATTTCAATTCCATTTCCTGCCAACCAAACAATATATGAAATTGGATTCAAATTCATGACATTCATTTTCTAATTCTAATTCTAATTCTAATCCTTCATAAACATTTTGCGAACCAAACAACATATAAGGTTTTTCTCGAAATTAACATTTTTTTTACTTTATATAAACTAAATGGAAAACTTCATTTTCAGAAGTATATATTTTAATTTAATAGATAAATTCCCCAGTTTAGTCGAATATAATCTCATAATTAGGTAAAGTTGTGAATATCTGATTTTAGTTATAATTGTTTTTCAAGATCATGATTATAACATATTAGATGGGGATCGAAAAAATACTATCAAAATAAACTAGTTTCCAAATTTGCTAACAAATTTTTATTTTGAGCCACAATTATAAGTTGATATATTAACATATCATGGGCGGAATCATCTTTAACTTCTTAGTTTTTAACCATAATTTTATAGATAAGTTGATATATTAAGATATCATGGGTGGAATCATCTTTAACTTCTTAATTTTTAACCATAATTTTATAGATGCAAATCGCAACAATTATGGAGAAAAGAAAATGCATTGCCCATACATGCATCAAGAGTAAAGTTGCTAACTTTTTCAATTTTCCCTAAACAATATATAAAATACTATTAAAACAATACATGGTAAAGTCTCATCCCATTCCATTCCTTAGTGATTTGATTACATTCCATTCCATCCAACCAAACACACAAAACAAAATCAAATTACTTACTTCCATTAAAACACATGTATGATGAAAACAAATCATCACCAAAAATCTCCACAAGAACACTTTCCATCTTTAAACTAATGAAACCGAACTAAATCTCTCACAAGAATCTCTCTCTTTGTGATCTTTGAAATTAACTTAGTTGCATTATGACAATCCCCACATACCCTCAAGTTTTTAACAACTCTAATAGTCATACCCTTAGGAATAAAAATCAACCCAAAAGCAATAGCAAGTTTCTCGCTATGATGATTAAGCATCCTTATCTTTTCACTCTCTTCCACATTATGAAGAGCAAATCTTTCATCAGGAACGTACCCTTCTTCTATCATCTTAATGTTCAATTTTTCCAACTCATCATAAATCTTATCTAAATAAGGACTCGATCTATCATCAGCTGAAAACACATGCACTTTGTTTTTATATTTCATCCAACTAAACCCTAAGGGTTTTTCTTATATCTTTATCTCTTATTTCACTTTTTAAATTCGCCACCTCACCCCATATCCCTTTAGTATCATACATTTCTGATAACAACACATAACTTGCAGGATTCTGAGGCTCTAATTCTTGTAAGCACTTTGAAGCCCATTTACCGATTTCAAAATTCCCATGAGATCTACATGAACTAAGTAATGTAGATAATCCAAATGCATCAGGGGAAAAAGGCATATCATTTATAAAACATTTAGCTTCTTCAATATATCCAGCTCTACTCAATAGATCAATCATGCAACTATAATGATCAGAAACTGGAACAATTCCATGTTCTTGTGACATTGATTTGAAATACTTTTGTCCTTTTTCCTCTAATCCTGCTCTACTACAAGCTGAAAGAACACTTATAAAAGTTACTCCATCTGGCTTGAGTTGAGTAGTCAACATTTTTTCAAAAAGATCGATTGTTTTATTGGCTTCCCCGAATTGCGAATACCCTGAAATCAATGAAGTCCATGACACCTCATCTTTGACTTTCATTTAATTAAACATTTGACTAGATTTCTCAATTGTTCCACATTTTCCATAGAAGGATACAAGTGAATTGGAAACAGTTATGAAAGAAATCAAACCTGAAACTCGTGCATGACAATGAAACTGTTCACCTTCTTCTAAACTAGCAAGATTCCCACATGAACTTATGACACTTCCAAGTGTAAAGTCATCTGGATGTATTCCATTTCTTTGCATTTCACAACAACACCTTATTGCTTCTTCACAATGACCGTGTTGCCCATACCCCACTATCAATGCAGTCCAAGAAACAATGTTTTTGACTTTCATTTTACTAAATACTGTTTTTGCATAGTTTACATGTTTACATTTTACATACATGTCAACAAGGGAGCTTCCAACGTATACATTGTCCATGATGTCAGTTCTTATGATGTATGCATGGATTTGGGAACCTTCTTTTAGAGACAGAGTTCCTCCACAAGCTTTCAAGATGCTTCCAAAAACAATATCTAAATTTTTTTAGTGACCTTTGGCCGCACTTTTAATAAAAAGTGTGACATACCGTTTTTCAAAAAGTGTGACCATATGTCATTTTTGTACTAGTGAATGGCTGTTGAACTATAAGCTAGAATGGAAGTTACAACGGCTAAGATTGGTTAGCAGTTATGTTAGTTATTCTCCTAAAAGTTAGTTATGCAGTTAAAGTATGTTAAAGGGTATATGCCCCTTTTGTATGTATGTATATAAGTCAAACTTGTGTCTATGTATAAAGTATAAACTAATGACTATATAATAAAAGAAAAGAATTCTAAAAGCATATTCAATGCTAAACCTATATTTTAGATAGATATGGATTTATTAATATTGATCTCTAATTAAATTGTTTTTCTAACGATTAAACTTTTTTATGACTTTTTTTTATTAATTTGAATATTTTATCCGTATCAATCTAAAATATTATATAAAACTTTCTCGTTTAAGTAATTGTTTTTTAAAAATAGCGTATTTAAATATAAGATATCGCCACCTTATTATTTTATTAATATTGGCTTCTAATGAAATTGTTTTTACAATGGTTAAACTCTTTTATGACTTTTTTTTATTAATAGAAATATTTATCATTATGTATCTAAAATGTTATATTAAACTTTCTAGTTTAACTAATCGTCTTTTAAACACACCATATTTCAATATAAACATTCACTCACGCAAAATGATTCACATATTACTATAGTATATGTTTATATATTTGTTTATCTATAAAATTTAGATAAATAATAAATACTTAAAATCAAATCAAAATGATATATAAAATGAAATATTACTGAATAAAAAGGATTGCGTGTTCAAAATATTAAACTATATGAGTGGTCAATAAAAATTAGCAAAAAAATCATCATCTCTAATGGTGTTAAGTTATTTTGACCACTCAACAAAATAATAATAAATTATAAAAAACCTCATATTGAATATGTTCTAAGTACTTAAACTATATTTTCTTGTTTATCCTTACAACATCCACCATTAGCGATTAAAACATGTTTTAGAAAGATAATTCTCCTGCGATCTAGAAAAAACTTTGATTAGCATGAAACGATATAAGTTTCTTGTAGCAAATAAGAGGTGGTGTAACATAGTATCCTAGTTACAGACCAGCGATTCCTTTGTATTTCTTTTATTGTTATTTTGTGGCATATATGCATCGGATATATGTTAATTATA